GGGCAGGGCCCGGGGAAGCGCTTCCCCCGCTCGCGGCCGGACCCGTCTTGCTGCTGGGATCTTACGGACTAAAGCCAGGAGAGCCACCCACGCCCGAAGACGCTGCTGAATCCTTGCCAAGCCCCGAGAGATGTTGAGGGAAAGAAGGGGTCAAGGAGAAGTGTCAGATCCATCTCATTTCAAGCGTGGACAAAGCGACCAACGGTTGTTTGGTTTAAAAAAATATATATTTTGAAATAATCTTTCTCTCTGTGATTTATTCTGAAGTTGTTGGGACTGGACTAGGACTCCAGGCCGGTTTTTAACTACTGTAACCCCCCCTGGTGGAAGGACACCTATATAATTTAGTACAGATTTTTGGTTTACAACATCTGTGTGCGTTCAACTTTCCTCCTCTTGAACCATTCAGCAGTTTTAAAGGTGCCCTTCAGCCTGCCGAGAGCCGCCTGCTACTGCCTTTTTCGGATACGCTGCAGGACTTGCGAGGGTTTACCCGACAGATTCAGACACAACGCTTTCACTAACGCTGCCTGTCTTTTAGAGGCCTGCTCCATGTTTGGAGATATCCAGTAAGACTATTACACAGCCCTCTCTAATTCAGATGGCTGCCACGTACTAAAGACACTTTTCTCTTAGCACCGTCAGGAATAGATGATCGACAGAAACAGTTTATTCACTGGGTTTGTTAAGAGCTCTTTCTCAAAGCATATTCAATGTGCCTCGCTTTAAAACAGATGCATATGAGTCTAAGTTTGAAGGAAGCTCCTACTGCATTTTGTAAGTCCTCAGTTATCCTGATTGCAGCCTAGGATCCCTGCATCATCTTAGGTAGGTTTAGATACTGTTTAAGGATATAGTGGAATGGTCACAATCTTTTACTTACAAGCTCCACAAAACTGGAAAGTAGCAGATTTTATTCACTTTCATGCACATCAAACCCCATTAGTCTGTCATGTACCAAACAGGCCTGATCATCTTCTTAATGAACTGCCTTTTAGTTTGCCATATGAAGTATTTATAATGCATCTTCAAGTCCAGTCTGATCTCAGTTTCTAGGTTCTGAGGTTTTCTGTCAGTTAATCTAGAGCAGTGCTCAAGTGGGAAAAAGAAAGACGCTGTGGACTTGTATTTCTCATAACAGCCCCTCAAGAGAGACATCTTCACAGACAGAATGTGGCATTAATCCATGCAGTGTGGGAGTGGTTTTGACCCTTACTAGGAAAGAAAAATGGGTTTAGTGGACCATATAGTCCTATCCTTAGGTTGGTTGTACAACTGCCTTTCAAAATACATTTGCATGGCAGCGTAAATGCCAAAATAAGGAGTGCAGCATGTATTTGGATATTCCTCATCTTTATCAAGAGAAACAAATAAAGTACATACAAGATACATGTTAAAACCTCCAAAGCATTCACTATTACAAGCTGATACATTTTATGCAAAGACTTGAGCTGTCACTAGGGTGGCACTATGACTGGAGAACTGCTGATATGGTTGTATCATCATTTTCACTTTAATTTTTTAAGTTGGAGTGTAAATGCTATTGTGGATACCAAGTTGTTGAAGGAGGGTTCACTACTCATGGTGATCAATGGCATTTTTACAGATTTCTCTGTCAGCTGTGTGCTAAGTGGAGTTTGTTTCAGAAGAACCATAAACCAGCGTGCTAACTAGATAACCACAAAAAAGCCCAAGGTGAAACTTGGGAGTGCAATGGATATACTTAGAGGATGATTAATTTTGAGGAAGAATACTGACTGATGATGGTATTCTTTTAGTTGGAAATGGCAAACTGTTCCTGACCTGCAGCCCCATAAAGCACTTGTTATAGGCAACTAAACAATATTGTTTCCCAGGTCTTTAGTACATTAGTGCATGTAAGGACGTGCTTATTATATGTAGTGACTTAGGTCACTGTTGAAGGCAGTTGGACAGTGTTGGGAAACCAGAATTCTGCAGCTAAACTCTCAGTATACTTCAATCATTTTTTCCTTCAGTATTACTTACCTTAGTGACTGAAAATTCTGTCTTTGGATATACCAGCTTTTACTAAGTGCACCTTTTTATTCCCCTTTCTCTGTCACTGTAGTACCACACTTAAAAGTATGGCAATGCAGAGAATGTGAAACTTTGCTATAGAATCATATGGATCTCAGAGAGAAAAGGGGAAACTTAAGACACTGCATAAGGGACCTCCCACCCATGGATAACTTCTAATCTGCATGCTTTTGTTGGTGTTTTACTAATTTCTGTGGTTTCAATAGTATGGTTTCAATACTACTATATTACTTTTGTTGAAAGCTTGAATGTTTGGGAGGGAGAGAGAGAGATGATTCATCAGAAAATAAGTGTCTGAATTCTGAGAAAATAGATCTTGCTGGCTGGGATTCAAGGGAGAGCCTGATAACTTGAATTCATTCAATAGAAGGAGTGCTACTTCAGTGACTGGGAAAAACATGTCATTATGCCTCACCAATCTGCCCGTTGAGTTTCCTGAGCTGGCTTAATGATGGTGCCTACAAGCCACGCAAGACCTCACATTTTGGGTGTGAAATTAAAATACAACCCTCTGGCAGAGTAGAGGTAGTGCTCGCAGAGATCTTCAGCGGAGGCTAATAGAACACCGACTAAATATTAAGCAGATGAGTCATATATAATATAAACACGTATATAACTTGTAGGTTCATTTAACATACTGGGTTTTTGCACAGTAAAAGGTCACAGATGGTAAGCGTCGGCAGTCTTAAACTTCTCATACAAATACTCCAGCTACTTTAAGAAGATTGAAGGACATGAAAATGTGGGACCTTGGCCCCATAGAGAAAGTAATCTTCCAGATGAAGACAGCCCCAATATACATAATTTTGGACTCGTGCCTTTGCTGTTCTCAGTATATGAACAAAAGAAGAGACAGTGGGTACATCTACACATTCATGAATGCACTTGTAGTTAACCAAGTACTAAATCAACGCACAGTAACTTGCACTACCGCTCAGTAGCACCAGTGCATGGCTTTTTAGTGATGCTTACTGTGCAGTAGCCTAATCTTACTGCACAGTAGTGTATTAGCACAGTTTTTGCCTGGCACGCTACTGCACAGTGTTATTAGGTTGCTGTACAGTTAGCATCTCATGTACATGCACACCCAGTCTCTCTGTACATCCATAAGGAGATTGTTAAAGAGGGATAGGGACAATTTGGATTGAACATAAAATACAAGTGAAAGCCACAGCAACCTCGGGAGCAAAAGAGCCTAACTGAAGATTTCCGGGTGGGCCCTCCCACTGCTTGTGACAACTCCCTTGGCATACATCTGAAGTGGATTTATTGCAAGTCCAGGGAAGTTTATGCCCTAATACAGTATTGGCCTTCATTTCACCAACACAATTAACAAGTTGTCTTGGGGTGAGAGAATGTCATAAATTACTTTTTGTGTGTGTGTGTCTAACATACTGCATATGTAGCTATATTTGTTTAGGAAAACATGACAATAGGGAAACATAGGACTCAGAGAAAATATGGCTCCTTATTTAGGGTATGCAACCTTGTAACTAGGTACTTCCAAGACTGAAAATGCAATATATTGCAGCTCACATATGAGAAGTACTGCAAAAAAATCTTTGTGGGGAAGCTTGCAGGGTGCCTGGCAGCTGTAACAAGTAGGATTTATTTGAACTAGGAATTAAGTTAAGAGAGTCCTCTTTCAACATACTTTTCTCATATGGAAAAGTCCATTGGAATTCAGAGATTTTGAGATTCTATTGTGCTGTGCAGTTAACCTATACACTCTTTTGTTCTATAAAAAAAAAATTATAACTTGTACCATCATGCAGCATCCAAACAGCTTTAGTGTAACAGATGTGGTAGAAAAAGCTGCAGCTGTCACAAATTGGAGAAAAAAAAGCTGGACACTTGCATCTTTTATGTGGTGTCAGAATCTTCCTTTAAGGGCTCTAAAATCAAGATTCCCATGAATATTGAGTACTATTCAGTATGAGAACAAGTGTAGGAAAACCACTAGGAGGCAAATGGGAAACAGAAATACTGAATACCATCAAATGCAGAAGAGAGCTAATACTGATAAGGCAAGTAACCCACATGAGACTGAGGCTAAGTCTGTATTGCCTCACTGCTGAGCATGGACCCATTGCTGAGACACAAGCTGCACTATGTATGTGTCTAGCATAGTTTAGAGGGGGCCTGAGCTTGCACCCCAGTTTCTCTAAGACAGAGAACCTGAGAGTAGCACTGGAGCATGCTAGTGACTGTTCTTGAACTGATAATGGGAGGTTCAGGTGTGGAACAGAGAAGAGCAAAAGGCTGATATCAGTATAGATCATTTCAAATTTATAACTATAGTTCAAAAGAAATTTAGAAGAAGGGATAGTTAAATGCTAAGTTAACAGGCCTTGTGTGTCCATCATACTATAATGGAAAATTCAGTAATTGCAAACTGACATCTGGACTAAAGACTACCAGCAGATGGCTTCTGTCAACACAAGGAATTAAAAATTTAAGGTATTTACCCTTTAAAAACAAAACCAAACCAAAAAAGCTAACAGACTTGTCTGCAAGTATAATGGTCTTGCTCTACCCTATTACAAAAAAGGCATGGGGGTAAATTCAGCACTGGAGTGTGCAGGATGGAACAAAGTAGCCACAGTTAGTAATGGGAAAAGCAAAGTGCTATCTGGACTGTTCAATTTCCCATTTGGAGTCGTGTGAAGCACAAGTGCCCCTTTGGTGAAGTCACTGTGGCCTCTTGTTCAGACAGGAGATATTAAAAGGAAATGAGAGTCCATTTGATAGAAACCTAATTTAATTGGTTAATAAATTCCTCATGTTAGTTGTACCAGTTCAGAATCAAGATGCGACAGAACAGATCATCAACAATAGGCTGCTTGTCCTCAGTTAAGTTTTAGGTCCAGTCATATGCTACAAGTAATTCCCAGCCCTGAAAGAATTATGGAATAAAATATTTGTAGTGGAAAAATTTGGTCCTTTTAGTTCATGGCTGGCTATTGTGCAGTTAGAGATATATTTTTTTTACTCTTGTTCTTGACAGTTGATATGTAAACGTTATGATAGCTGAAAGCAAAACAATTAATCTTCAGAAACTTTAGTCTTTGCTCATAGCCAAATTAAAGTTATCAATTTGAAAACTTTAAGGCTGTGAACATAATGTATTAGATTCCTTACAATCT